GATTGTAGAATCTCATCGATGATGAATTTATGGTGAGCTCGTGATGAACTCGTGGTACACTCGAGGCAGATGCAATGATTATTCAGAAATACAGGTAAGAGCGCATAAGAAGTACCAAGTAGGTATTGAGTGATATCAATGAGGGGAGTGAGACAAGAGAAGAGCAGGTAGTTCAGATAAAAACAATATGATAAGAGTGAAGGTTCTTGAGGTTTACTTTGTATGCCCTCCAAAATTGTACCCCCATCTTCAATATCTTCTTATCCATGATATCAAACAACACAATTTAAAAGTACTCTGTACTATTATCAGTGCCGGTAGTACATGAGGAAATCCCATTTCTATTCCAACCTATCAGCCTCGGTAGACTTAGCCATATTAAACGGATAAGACCCACCAAGATCATGTAGCTTACCGTAAAACATGTTGACTCTGCTAAAGTTGGATATGATGGATAAAAAGATCAAAATACTCCATACGGAACTTTTTGTAGATATCAAGAAATAAATGTAAGTCCCGTATCTAAATTGAGGTTAATGGTGGGGCAAGTTTGGAGTGAAGATTGACTTGCATGAGGAGCATGGTTGTTGAATGGTTCAATCAAGAGAAGATCAGATCAGATCATCTTGACCCCATACCATTCATCGATAAGAGAATCAAGAGAATAGCAAATGGTTTCTTTGCGTAAAAGGTAAAAGTAATACAATTGATATCTCAAAGGTATTTTCAATCATTAATTTTATTGAAAAAGTCCCGATAAAATCATATCGTGTTACTTGTCTAAGTGTAACCATTTGGCCAGCCGAGCCAGCCTAACGGAAAGCTACTGATTGGAAACTAATTGCGCCACTCTTTTCTATTTCTGATATTGCATTGGCGATTTTTCCCTGGGGCGGACATCCGCGTGGAATTCTGTAAGCTTCCCATTGACTTCGGACTATGTGATATCAGGTTCTACAACCTTTAATAGCATGGTACTGTCGTGATCAGCTCAGATAATTCTTGGAAGATATTCCAAGTGCCGCATTTTCCCCAGGTATTGTTTGGTTAGAGACCTTTAGATTTGAAGAAGATTACTTCGAGAAATATGGAACATCAATATACCATACTTTGAAGACATCATCACATAGCCTCTTTGGATTTCACTCACTCATCCATCACGGGTGGCGGTCTGAGAAGAGAAAATGATTGATCTACCTCAATATCATGAGATATTCTTTCTCATAGCACACCTAATATTATTGTCAAGATGATTTGATTCTTCTTCAATTAAAAGAGTCAATTCATTACCAATATCCTTTGCTTCGAGTTTAATGTATCCTAAACTTTGATACCAAGGACGATTGAAAGGAAGAATTTTGTTGGTTGTGAGAGTAATCGCTTGGAAACCTTCTTCTTTTATATCTTTCATCATTCTATACATCAAAGAATTCCCAATGCCTTGCCTCTGATTATCCTTATTGACCGAGACTTCAGCCACATGGAAATTATCATCAACTTTATAGCCTCCAAGAAATCCCACAGGTTTGTCTTCACTATCAACAGCCACCCAAAGATGATGATCCTTTGACATGGAAAGTAGTAATGATGAATCCAAGACGGAATCATCAACGGGAACGTTGAAACATGTGAATAATTCAGCTGCTGACCGTTCAACGTCTGCTAGTAATGGAATATCCTCGTGTCGTGCTTCACGTATAGTATAATGACGCGATGTTGTGATCTTTGGTTGTTCATGTACTTCTGACATGGTAGTTCATCGTACCATCAAACAAACTACTATGCCTCTTGAAGATGATATATCGAAAAGTCTAGAAGGGTGACTTAAGGTCATCAACGGCAAATGTGAGACAATTTATAACGATCGGGAAGAGTGAGACATAAGCTCGTATGAAGAGTATGGAGAAGTACAAAGTAATTGATGAAGATTGGTGTATCGACTTTTTATGTAGAGAACCGGTCTTATTGTCAACGACTAGACGATATCAATCGATATAGTCGAGTAAGTAGATTGATGGGTGGATGAATTGACTTTGAAATATTCAATCCAGCTGAAGAGTCAAAATAATATTGAACAATGAGCTGAAGACTATGAATTGTATACGCCGTGTCGTCCTTCATTCTTCGCCCCCAAATTATTAGGCTTTACTTCGTTAAAACTTTCATTTCACAATGCGGGCGGCGCAACCTCGCAACATCGCAATCGTCATATTCCCTGGTAAGATTTCCTCTCTACTCCATCAATTTCAACAAACTTCGTGAAACTAATTCCATTCTTCAGTACCACTATATACACAATTCTCCCTTCAAACAATACCAATTTCATCACTCTCTCACTCATCCTTTTATTCACGACAATGGGCAAAAGATTAAAGAAAACGAATAACCCTGCCCCAATATCTCCAATCGATACCCCTCCATCTACATTTACAGATTCCCTCCTCCTTCCAAAACTTATCGTATTCGATCTCGATTATACATTATGGCCTTTCTGGGTAGATACACATGTTACCCCTCCGATCAAAGCAAACTCTGAACATTCTGCGACGACCGATCGTTGGGGAGAAAGTTTTACTTTTTATAATGAAGTCCCGTCCATTCTCGCACAGCTCAAGAATCATGGCATCATGGTCGGAGCCGCGTCTCGCACATCTGCTCCCGATCTAGGAAGAGAAATGTTAAGATTACTTCATGTTATGGATATAGATGGGAAGAAAAGGAAAGCGATTGAATACTTTGATCAGCTCGAAATCTATCCAGGAAGCAAGATTACACATTTTACGAAATTACAAAAGAGTACGGGCATAGCATATAAAGATATGCTATTTTTTGATGATGAGGCGAGGAATAGGAATGTTGAATCCTTGGGCGTCAAGATGTGTTTGGTTAAAGATGGTGTTAATAAAGCAGAGATCAATCGAGGTATCAAAGAATGGAGACAAATGCATGGCCATGAAATGAAGGTATCTGGTTCGGAGGATAGGATGGAAGGTTCTTCTACTGCTGCATATAATGATGGAATGGATAATGACAATGACGAATAAATATAAGAGCACATTGGTATGGTTTGGGTTTTCTCTGGAGTTTTGGGTTAGAATTTGAGAGCACCTTTTGAAGTAGAGCTGCTGGAGGAGGAGGAGGAGGAGGAGGAGGAGGGGCAATCGAAACAACATTCATAGATGAAGAGTACGACAATATACGAGTACGGGCAGCATGAACAGCATGAGCATTATGAGCAGCATGAGCAGCATAAACAGGATGGGTACTATGGACAGTATGAGTAAACATGAACATTATCGATCCAATATCATGCACATACGGGATTTCACGATAAAACTTGTGCATCCAACATCTATCTTCCCTCCCTCAAAAGCCAGCAAAGAGGAAGATGATCAAGACACCACTAATATTGCATGCTCATCAATACTGTTACATATGAAATTTACACAATTGCCTTCTCTTACCTTTATTGTTACTCTTATCATCTATACCTTTATTGTCTTCCCCCATCATATTCATATCCCAACAATGCGATCGCTCTTTTATACCCCTGTCGGTACCTGATTGATTGATTGATTGATTGATTGATTGATGACCTCATTATTTGAAACTTTGATATCATTTTCGCGCGTCAAACTCAATTCCCGCGACGCCTGACTTCGTGTTGAGTTCGTGTTAATTTGGAATTTCTACGATAATTATATGAACTTGATCGACTTCAATACTTCTCAAGATAATGTTTCGGTGACACATTTTTAATATGCCTCCATTTCTTCCGCGCAAACGTTTACGTTCTTCGTCCCCAGAGTCGGGCTCTAAGCCAGGTCCGTCAAAGCAACAGAATAAAGGCCAAAAGAGTAAATCATCAAAAGCCACTCCACGAAAAGCTACATTATTTGATGATCTGGATGCTGGCGCAAAAAGTCCCGAGGATACAAAGGCGATTTTACGCAAAATCCAAGCTACAGATGAAGACGATGAAAGTTCCTTATCGTCCCTTTCCGATGACGAATTCGAGGATGTTCCAAATACGAATAGACAACCCAACGATGATGCGACGGAGAATGAGGATGAGGATGAAGACGAAGATATTGAGTTCGAAGATGTCGATACAAATACAGCAGATAAACCATCTGCGAATATACCTACAGGAGATCTCGAACTTACATTAACGAAAGAAACGAGGATATCACTTACAAATCCATTGGGGACGAAGAAAGGACCCAGTAAAATTGAGAGGGGTATAAGAATAGCTACACATAAAGTTCATGTTCAAATGTTAATGTGGCATAATGCGATCAGGAATTCTTGGCTTTGTGATAAAGAATTACAAGATATCCTGGTGGGACAATTACCGGACACAATTTTGAGTGAGATTGAAAAATGGAGGAAGGATAGTGGTTTACAAAGGGGAGATACTCCAAAGTCGAAGGGGAAAGGGAAGGGAAAAGTCACAAAAGGAAAGAATGACGTTAGAAGTCAACGAGATTGGGGACAACCTGCCGAAAGACAAGAGGCTGGTGAAATCAATATGAGTCGTGGGGATCCTATGTTTCGACTTTTAAAGTTATTGATGCATTATTGGAAGCAAAGGTTCAGAATTGTCGCACCTGGTTTACGAAAAATTGGTTATATGTCTCTCGAAAGACTTGATCAAGAATCGAAGAGTTTCCAGAAAGATGAACATGATATTGAACAACATGGCGAAAGGATCATCAATATACATGAATTCAGAAAATGCGCTAAAGTTCTGGAAGGGAGTCGGGACGTTGGTGCTCAACTATTCTCAGCATTGTTGAGGGGAATTGGTATTGAATCAAGAATGGTTGCTAGTCTTCAACCGGTAGGATTCGGTTGGAATAAGAATGAGGATGCTATAGAGAAGAAGGACAAGAAGAGAAATGAACCTATTCCAGAGGATGATACATCGGACACTGAGAGTAGTGAAGAAGAGAAGTATGTATCGAAGCCTATCTCAAAGTCTACCACCAAGCCTACAGCAAAGCCTCCTGCCAAATCTTCGAAGAAAGTAAACGGAACCGGAAAATCCACTGTGGCTCCAAAGAAGCCCATCAACTCTTACAATAATTCGACAAGACGTTCAAGTGGAAATGGACTCAAAGATGCTCCAATTGATTTATCAGATTCTGACGGGGTTTCCATGCTTGAAAATGAAGAAGACGATGATGAGTCTGTGGTTGATATTACTCCAGCCAAAACTCGTATACAATCTTCAAAGCCTTACGACAAAGATCTTGTCTTCCCACACTACTGGACAGAAGTGTTGTCTCCAATCCGAAAAATATATATACCTGTTGATCCACTCGTTCTTAATGTTATTGCGACTAATCCTGAACTTCTTCAAAAGTTTGAACCTCGTGGTGCAAAAGCTGATAAAGCTAAACAGGTTACTGCTTATATCGTTGGACATTCATCAGATGGTACAGCTAAAGATGTTACAATACGATATTTAAAAGGTCATGTGTTACCTGGTCGAACAAAAGGCAATCGAATTCCAATTGAGAAAATTCCGGTTTACAATTCTAAAGGCAAAATCAAACGTTATGATCAATATGATTGGTTTAAAAATGTCATGAATGGGTATATCAGAGGGAGTAATAAATATCCAAAAACGGACATTGATAATCATGAAGAAGCTACTGATCTGAAAGCTATTCAGCCCAAGAAAAAAGTAGTAGAAGGAGAAGAAACTCTTCTCTATTTCAAAACCTCTTCGGAATTTGTCCTGGAAAGGCATCTTAGAAGAGAAGAAGCTATTCTTGATACAGCAAAGCATGTAAAAATGTTTACTGTAAAAGCAAAAGGCGATAATCCAACAGAAGAGAAGGTTTTCCTTCGAAAAGACGTCGTCAGTTGTAAAAGCTTGGAGACATGGCATAAAGAAGGACGAGCGCCGTTACCTGGTGCAATACCAAGAAAACGTGTACCATATCGAGCAGCGACTACAAATAGAAAACGTGAACTTGCAGAAGCAGAGTTGGAAAGTGGAGAAAAAATGTTGCAGGGTCTTTATAGCCGTGATCAAACTGATTGGATTATTCCTCCACCAATTAAGAATGGTGTGATACCGAAAAACAACTATGGAAATATGGATGTTTATGTTCCAAGCATGGTACCGGTTGGTGCAGTTCATATTCCTAGAAGGGGTACGAAGAGGATTTGTACACGATTAGGTATTGATTATGCGGAAGCTGTTACTGGATTCGAATTTGGTGCTAGAATGGCTATACCAATTATTACTGGTGTTGTGGTTGCTGAGGAGAATTTTGATCTTGTTATGGAAGAATGGGAAAAGGATGAAGCGGAAAGAGTTAGAAAAGAAGATGAGAAGAAAACTAAAGCAGCGATTGGTATGTGGAGGAAAATGTTGATGGGACTTCGAATTATTGAAAGAATGACGGACGAATATGGACATGGTGGAGAAGAAGTTGATGCTGTTAACCCGTTTAATAATAAGAATAAGAAAGGAAAGGAGGTTGATGGAGATCCGGAATTGGATGAGAAAGCATTGGAAATGCAACAACAAGATGAAGAAATGGCAGGTGGTTTTTTCCCTGAAGGTTATGATGAGGAAGAACCGGAAGAACATCAGTCGACTAGTTTTTTTCCAGTTGTTGCTTCACAGGATAATGGAGATGACGGTGGATTTATTGTGGAAGATGAAGGAAAAGAGATCACTAATGGTACCAATGGTACTTCATCCACCACTTCTCAAACATTTCAATTTATTGGGAATGAAAACACCGCGACAAATCCAACTTCAGAAGATGAATTAGAGTCAGAGGACGAAATTCAACACAAAACACCGCAAGTTAGAATTGCTGCACCAACACCCCGCAGTAGAGGAAGACCTGCAGCATCGACGAACAAGACTCCCGCAAAAGCAAAACCCACTCCAATCTCCAAACCTAAACCGAAAACTCCCGCGAAACGAGCAGCTCCGACACCAAAAACTTCTGGTAAACGAAAACGTATACCAGACTCGGAGGATGATGACGATGTTGAGGATAATGAATCTTCCTCACTATCCGATATCGAAATGGATGATGATGCGGGAGGAGAGGAAGAAGAAGTGATCAAACCCTCTCCGAAGAAAACCTCTCCGAAGAAACCCTCTCCGAAGACTTCAGTACCAAGGAAATCGGCGACGAAAAAAAGAGGAACGATATCCGTAACTTCTAGTCCGGCAACGAGAAAAACACCGAGTAGAAATGCTAAGAGAGTGGGTGAGACGGGGACGAGGTCGAGATATTTCGAACATGAGGATAGTGGGGAGGAGTGAAGAGTGAGATGAGTGAAGAGTGAGAAGATGTGTTGTATCCAATAGACGATTGATTAAACTCCCTGTGATTGAGTGATTGCGAATAACCTCAAGTTAAGGGACTAGTCAGCATTTAGAATCCGATCCGCATCCAATTCAAAATTTCACATCCGATTCACCTTCTACATCCGATTTAAATTTATTTCCAATTCAATTTATAGTGTATAACGCTCCGCTTTCAAAAAAATTGAATTTAGTTATTTAATCTAGCCTACAGCAGATGATATACGGAAGCTTGAACCTCCCTGTTTCTACTAGGTATGTATAATATAGAGTGCAAACGTTTTGGATTTCATTGGCAGCTAAAAAATTTATGGTATATTCAATAAGTCATCTCTTCTCCTTCATGCCAGTGACTTTCCACCTCCATTTCTTGATCAGCATTAGAATCTGTCGAGATATCGGCAGCTTTTGTTAACAGGTCGGTGACATTGGCAGCAGCAGCAGCAGCAAGTTGAGTGGAATTATTGGCAGCATCGAGAGCAGCAATAAGTTGAGGAGAGGGATTGAAAGCATCGGTAGTGTCTGTAGAGGGGTTGGTGGTGTTTGTAGATGCATCGATGGCTGAAGGGTTGGTGATTTTTAGAGCATTCTCGGTAGTAGCAGCGAGCTGAGCGGTAGCTTTGTATCTTTGTCTACGATTCTGAAAGATGTATTAGTATAAGATAAATAAGGGATTAATTGTAAAGAATGTTAACTTACAGAACCGCGTCGGATTGGAGTTAAATTGAACAAAAAGTTCAAGATATTACTGGGAGCGAAATCTTTTTCGCTGTCGCTATGGTTGTTGTGTCTCTGAAATTTGATTGTGAAATTGATGTCACTGTCGTTTCCAAAGATGTGTTGTCGATAATTTTGGAGGCGGAAAGATAGAATAGTATAGAAACCTTGTCTATTCCTTTTCTCTTCCCTCGAAAGGGTTCAGTTGAAATGGGGGATGGAGATGGATATACATAAGAGCTTTTGTGTTATCCTATGCGATACGTTTAGTACTTGAAGCTCTAAAAGTTGAAGATATAAAATACAGGGAGTGGGACAGGTGTGAAGATAGAGGCTCGAAATTCTCGCTGGAAAGAGGGGGGTATTCATATTTAATGTGAAGATGGAGCTGTGATGTGGTTGGTGGATCTAGGCAGGCCAACATGGAAGTAGCTCCCTCCGAATTGATTCTCATCTGGAGGTACCTATGTATCAGATAAAATTCTTCCAACTGCTAAAAATTCAGGGTCTCTGTATTTGAACTTTCGCACTGTCCATTATCCTTCTGGCCAAAGAAACTATGCACGCCGGATTCGCAAATAGGGACTGGAGTCTTGATCAGTCAGATTAAGGACTTTCAACAGCTCTGCAGTACACATCTCATCTTTCTCATTTGTCAAAGTTGAGCATCTTAATCTACCCAGCGTGTGATTTAAAGCTCTTCCAGAGCGCAATTTTGTTGTTTGGTGTATTTTTATACTGTCACTAGTGGCCGGTGAGTATTTGTCAAAAATGATAGATATATCAGTGATAATAAGTAAACAGCCGTATCATTTCGACAGTCAAGCACATGAAGTCAAGTGGCTTTCCATTTCTTCTTCATCCGAGATATCTAATTTCATATCGGGATAGAAATTGACTTCGCTGCTTTCTAAGCTCTGCTGTTTCTTTCCTCGAGGATTCTTGTTAGATGGCTCTCGAAGTATATAGCGTAATCTAGTACCCAGTGGTCCTTTTATATAAGCACATGAGTAACAAGCAAATCTCAATCTCAGATCATATAACATCTTCAATGAGCCTGAAAAATATCACGGAGAATTTGACCCGTTGCGTTCGGCGTCTCTCTGCATGATATTGAAACATGTTGTTCTTTCCAAAGGAGCTTCTGGGTGACCTTAAATAGCTCCGTGATATCAAAATCTGCTTGAATCGGACAGTCCTAGAGATCTTCAGTAGTTTGATTATCCTCTTTAACATTCACTCCCATTCCCTACATCACATGTCAAACTCAACTCCATCCACCATACCCCCATATTTTCTCCCCCTTCTAATATATTGCACTAATCAAAACCAAAAATACAAATCACCAGGACTTCAATTTTCCCCCATCTTTCTGTATTTAATCTCCCTATCCAACATCTTGAATCGGAATAGAAATCTTGCAACGCAGAGGTACACAACCCAGGCCGACCATGAACGTTGCATTTGAGCCGTCCAGCCTTCCGCAATCTCAGAATTGCGAAAGCGAGCTCATTCATAAATTCCTCGAGTACTGTAAATCTACAAAAGTTGAATATCTAAACATCCTCAACCACAAATTACATTGTCACCGAAAGTTTTTGACACCAAAAATCCGCAACAACAACTATCCACAATCCAACGACAACCCACAAACCTCCCTAAACCGCACCCACGACCAACTTTTCCCTTCCTCCCGCCCCAGAAAACAGAAAAACGCAAATCCCTGCATCAATAATCAAACCACAAAACTCCAAAGCCATCCATGTATTCCCACTGTCTATCGAAATCATCTAAAGACTCTGCTGCTCTGCTCTACTACCGAATAAATTATCCACAGGAGTTTAAATACCTAGGTCCCTGTATCCCGCAACCCCCCAAGTGATCTTGATTTGGTTGTTTCAAATCTAATGAATGATTGATTGGAACAACTTCCAAGATATCTGATTCGATACATCGAGAGATATTCATAAGTACATTTTCGTAGTGTCCCGTCAATGCATGCACGCGCCGGTGACGCGAAAAGTCAAGAAGCTATTTGATATCCCTCCCTCTTCCTCTCTTCCCCCCTCCAGCCTCCTTCCCCCTCACTCCCCCTCAAAATCTCCCAGATTCCAGATTTCCTTTCCCTTTCCCTTTCCCTTTAAAATCACACAATCACAAGCATCATCCAATACACTATTTCAAGATCCATTCCATGTCCTCACATCAAGTTCAAACCAACTGCCTGCTACGACTTATGCAAAATTCTTACGAATCACGACGTTAATTCATTCTCTTCCCTTCCCTTCCCTTCCCTTCTTTTCCCATCCCATCCCCCATCTCTCACCATCAACAAAGAAACCAACTAATCCTACTTATTATCCACGCACCCGTCTATCCACCCCCATCAAGCTGTATCTTTTCCACCTCACCAACAGCTCACACTACACGACGGATTCCCACTTCACCCTCTCCAACTCTCCTCATTCCAGAATTCATTTCATGCTAGGTATCCTACAACGTATGCATATACATACATACAAGTATACAAATCTACATACATACATACATCCATCGATCCACCAATATATTAATAGGATTTGTATCAAATTAGTTATTTTATTCTTCGCTATTTCTTGTACATACACATGTATATGTACTTGATCCTCCCCTTTAGCTTCAACCTCCACCTACCCCTCTCCTCCTCACCTGAGGTCTTGTCTTCTCAGCTACTTACGGAGTTTCTTTCCTCTCCTCTCTTGCCTCCCTTACTCTCCCCACGCTCCTATTTCTCACATAAACTGAACTCCTATTGCTATTCCTATTCCCAACCTTAATCGTATTCCATCCAAACCGAAACGCCGAGAAACGAAATAATGGTATCGGAACTAGAAGTTATACATCCACTCGTTTATTCGTTCGTAGTTATTTGTATTATTAATCTGCTTTAATCGCACTGTCATATCATTAGCTTCGTACTTGTATATCAATCTCAACGCCACCACAAGCTAACATCGCCATCCATTCCCCTCTCTTTCTTTTCAAGGGCCACCAATTAACTACGTGACTAAGCCAAAAGACAGAAGACAAAAGAAAATGTTTAATAACTTACCCATAAACCCTTCTCACAAACCAAAAACTGGTCAAAAATCCCACGGTTCCTGTTGCCAACCCATAGGTAATAGCCACGACTCCGCAATAACTAAAAAACAACATTCCACTAACAAATCCCTCAATATGCAACCTTCTCATGTAGAACCACACACAATATGCCATAACCCAAACTGCTGATCCACCTCCAACAAGGAAAGAATGCCACCACCAATTGTAATCTTCAGCACAAAGTTTAATGTAAATGGTAACGATTGTGACTTCCGCAATTGTAATCATGAGAAGAAGAGTTATGAGAGAGAGGAACCCGAATACGTAGTAATACCCACTTTTATCTTGCCAAAGTGATTGAAAGACGAAAAGAAGTTCGATGAAGATCACTGCGAAAGGGATGAGGCCAGCCAGGAGAATTGAAGAGGTGGAACGGATATACCAAGGTTGAATTGGTACTTGACGAGGGATAATAGCCGTTTTTGTAGGGGATTCCCAAGCACCGGAACGTGTGTAACCGTAGTAAGAGCCGGCATAGACAAGAGGGAGTTGGATGCAAAGCCATAAGAATACCAGAGCGATCAGGGTACCGAATGGAAGGGCGGTACTAGATGCTTGGGCCCAGACGAATAAATTGAGAATGAAGACTAGAGAAAAGAGAAGACCAGGGAAGAGAATGGCTGTGATCAAGGTATTTTTGCGCCAATTGAAACCTCCAAATGTTTTGTAAACACGTGCGCTGAAGTAACCAGAGAAAACTCCTGCGAAGATGAAAAGACCAATTCCGACACTGATGAATCCACCACGGAAACTAGGATTCAGTATACCTAGACTACTTAGAGAAAGTAATCCAAAGGCCATGAAAACGAGTTGCATTCCAGATCCGATCAAAGGTGCTAGAAGATATCCATAAGGAGGTGGACGGAAAACATCTCCATGAAGTAACTTCCACCCAGTGATGTCTTCCAGTTGCTCGTCATCGGAAGAAACATCGGCATCATTCTCGGTATCAACCTGTTCTAATAGACCAAGTCCAGTTTTTTCCCCAGTTTTAGGTGATCTTGCTCCACTTCCAGGTCTAGATCTTCTTTTTGGCTTCAATTTTCCATCTTCTCCTGAGACATCCTTTGTATATGCTTTGATATCTCCTCGAACAGTTCTGGCTAAGATCATCGCAACAATGCCACTGAGAAGACCTGAGATAATCAAAGAATTGACAATAGCCAACCAATGAATTCTTGATCCTTCCTCTTGGTTAACGAAGTATAGATCCCATCGATTTCTCCATTCGACCTTTTCATCTTCACGGAAATAGACAGAGTAGGTGTATGGGATCTCCACTGTAGCTCCATCATCTAAATCTATTTCCCTTTCCGGTGGATGATATGATGAAAGTGGGTATGCGAGGGCTGATGAAGAATCGGTATGGTTCGGGGCGAGATACAATTCAAATGGTGTATCGACGTCATTCAAATCCGCAGGACATCCCGATTCCACTCTCTTATCAGCTCCAACACTTTTGGTATACACTTCGAATCCAACAATAACCTTCCCACCTTTTTCTCCATCCTTTCCTGGAGCTTTTCGATATCGAAGAACGATTGTAAGATGATTGTTGATGAAATATCTCGCTTTGCCAGTTTGAGAAAAATCCTTATAACCCAATTTGAATCCAGCAGCGTAATATTTCTTACTTTTGTCCACTGTCACAAAACTCGTTGCTCCAGGTAAATTATCCACAATCCATTCCACAACATAACCATCCTTAACCAATTCTTTCGCACGTTTCAGATCTCTCCGGTTGACTGTTTTGGAACAGAGGAAATTGCATTCTTGATCCTTCCCCATTACCAACTCGATATCGGATTGTGTGATTCTGTCCCCTCGTAATACTTCGCCGAGATTCAACGATATACTTTGGCCGCTGAGCAGAGAAGATCCGGCATGACGCACACCGGTTGGAGGACAGACGAATGGCAGATCGTAGTAGGCATATTGTAATTGTGTATTGTCGGAGTAAACCTTATTGACTAGCAAAGGAATTGCTTCGCTGTCTTTATAACTTTTAATCGACCAACCTATATGAATGGGAGAACAGTTAGATTATTGTCCGGTGTTTAAAATCTAGCAGAGAAGGCGATGAGATGAGATGAATATGGCAGAAAGCGGCAGACGTACCTGGTATGTAGAAAGCATCCGTTATTGAAATTGCTAGAAAGAATAGTAACCAACTTCCTATCCTCATCGAAGGATTGGTAGCCATTATTGATGATGAATTGTTAAAAGGT